GATAGTAGTATCAAATCTGTAAAAACTTTGAACAAGTACAAAGAGGTCACGTGGTCGGTCAAATTGACCAAGCCCATATTGAGAGAGTTAATATAAAGTTTTTCTTGACAAGTTTTTAAGAATTATGTTGTTACACTAACTAACAGTGTGTTGTAAATATTTGTGCAAAAGTAGTTGTTGTTTTTGTACCTGAATGGTAAAGTTAATGGCCCATAATTATTGAGCATAAAATTTTAAGCTTAAGAAAGTAGCAACACTTTTGAAGTAGAGCACATGAAAATTACCCTTTAATCTTATAATTGAAACTTGTTTGTATTTTTACCTTAAAACAATTTCCTAGATCCTGCATTTATTCAGAATGTATCAATATTCATAGTTTATAAGGTTTAGGAATAAGTACCACTATTTTTTTTATCTGATAACTTTTCATTATTACTTAGAAAAAAGCTATAACAGCAGCATATTGTAAAGAAAACTTTGTCCTTTAGTTGATTACTATTGATTGACTTGCATAATTAATATATTTATTATATTTTAACTTGAATTAGTTTTTCTTTGTAGAATGATGGTGATTATATGTGCCAAAGTACAGAACAATCATAATTTTCCAAATAAACCTGTTTATTTAACTGAATAAAATATCTCTTCAAATATCAAGTATATACTCTCCCTACCCTTTATATACATAATTGTTGCAGGGGTAATTCTCACCTGGTTTAATCATGGATAAACTATAAATTATGAAATATAAATACTTCAACTTTAATTTTTACTGATGAACAATAGTTTTATTGAAATTAGTTGTTTCTTGTGCTCTCATATGTAATAAACAGCTAAACAACCCAGACATGAGAGTCCTGCTGTTGAAAGAGTATGTAAAACAACATTTTCCAGCCACTCCCGTGTTAGACTACGCTCTTCAAGTTGAAAAGATTACAACTTCAAAGGTTTGTCTTTTAACATTTCCAGAAAGTGTTACATTCTATGCTTAGAGCGAAATACAAAAAAAGACCAAATTAAGGAGTATGTTTTAAATTTCTGTGTTGAATTTTCCTAATGCTTATTCGTGCACTATCAAAAAGTATACATATTACAATGTATTTAATTTCTTTGATGTGCTCCATCAAAAGATTTTTATTCATACATTTTCCACAAATAACAAATGTTGCCTCATCTTCATATAAATATCTCACATGTAGCAGTATTGAGTAATCTTGGTTCTTTTCAGTTTTAAAAATATATCTAATAACTGTTAAATACTTGGCTCTATGGTATACTTGAACCTTAACATAATTGTAACTGCTGTATCATTTCTTTATGTTTACGTATAAGAGTTTAATATTCTAATGTTTCATTATATGTATCCACACGTGGAAAGGTATTTGTGTTTTGATTTATATAACCAAGACACAAGATACATATAACAAAACACTATAGTATTACTTTTCTGTTTTTCTCTCTCTCTCTTATTAATTTCTTTGACCAACTTCGTGACTTTAAAGATCACTTTTTAGGATGTAATAAAAACATTCAAATACTACTTTTCAACTAAACATAAGTAACATAAATTAAATACATATGTACAAACATATAATACACTCCTTATGTAATTTAAGTATATTAAAATATGCTCAAAAACAAATGAAATAAGTTAAAGCTTATCCACTATAGTTTATTTATAATAACTGGAGACGGCTTGAATGGGTAATGAAGAAAAACTTTAATATAAGTTTAATATAACAGCAAATGTACAACGTTTCGTCAAGGTTTTGTCACCCATTCAAGCCGTCTCCAGCCATTATGAATCTCAAAGTGGGTTCCTCATCATCGAATAGTTTATTTATATTCCTTTTTTTATTAAAATCTTATTCTAACTATATTTTCTCTCACTGTAGAAAAGCACATTGCACTAAGAGACTTCTATATATAAGAGACAAAGATTTGTAAGCATAATGAAATATTTTAACATAGTATGTATTATTGTATTACATGTAGTTTGTATTAAAATATTTCATTGTGCTTACAAATCGTTGTTGTGTGTATATACACACACACACACACACACACACAAGTATAATTTCTTTTGTTACTATAGAAATGCAATTTATTCCATAATTTAATACCTTAAACTTACTTTATTGCCCTCAGTAATAGTTTTTACAGTTTCACAATTTCACCGACTTTACACATTTACTACTACTTCTGCCCTCTTACCTCTATCTGTTTAACATGGCACCAAATATAAAAATTTATAAAATATTTTTCAAAGAATAATTTTTTATGTTTTACATTACATGCCCCAAAAAGAAATATCATGAAAATATTGTTCTTTTGGGATTTTCAATTTTCTCAAAATACATTCATTAAAATGTTTGCTGGTGTACAATGGGTTTTTTTCAGGACAACAAACATAGAATTTATGTAAGTTTTTCTTTTGGGAGCATGTAAGGTAAAACGTAAAAGAATGTACTGTACCATGGTTTTATATAGTTTAATGTTTAAGTTTATTGTCTACTTTTTTTTTAAAAAATCATGATGTTTTAATAGATGTATCTTTTCCTAATGATAATTAGAAACCAAATTTGATTCTTAATGTGGATGGCGTCACAGCTACAGCAGTGGTGGACTTGCTAAGAAACAGTGGCTGTTTCACCCAAGAAGAAGCCCAGGAATATATTGACATCGGAGTCTTGAATGGATTATTTGTACTGGGACGCTCAATTGGGTTTGTAGGTGAGTTTTGGGGTAAATTTTTATAAATCGTATAGATCAGGGTTTCTCAATCTCCTCCTCCTCCTTTTTTTGTAGTCCAAGACCTCCTTTCATGAGGATGAACAATCACACACACCCCTACATTTGTTAGGTAACTAAAAATCAACAAAGAATACGGTAAATATTAAATTTCATTACTTTTCTAGACAGTTCAAAGATGTAATTATTGCTTAGACTATATCTGTATGAAAGATAGTTTTATATGGTTTCACAATTCATTTCTCTTCATTTTGGCTTAGGACATTACCTGGATCAACGTCGGCTGAGACAAGGGCTGTATCGTCACCCATGGGATGACATCTCCTATGTTGTACCAGAATCCCTTATGGATTCTAGATAAAGGTGCTCATTATGTCAGTTTTGAAATACGATATACTACATACGATATATACATTAAAAAAAAATGAAGCAATCACTGTCTTTAGACATGGTGCAATTGTATTTAGGCAAGTTTGTAAATGATGCTTTCTGTACTTTGCTTTTAGTATACTAACAACAGGAAAAAAAATAGAAAAATATTGATTCCTGGTTGCTGTAACAATTAACTTTCTCTTTATCTTAAGTGATCAAAAAATAAGTGATGGCTATTTTACAACTTTAAAATTATAAAAGGCCTGAACATTAAAATCAGTAATTATTATATTCACTTTTTTATTTTTAAATTATGTACTTAAATTAACTTCATTTGTTAGATCTGAATTTCAGACACATTCCAAATCTTCACTCTCATCAATGAACTCTATACTAAAACTTTTGTGTTAACTCTGTTTACAAAGTAGTACATTTGGTGTCCATTTTTTTTTAACATAACATAGGCTTTCCTTTTATTAATTTTTTGTATCAAATATGAAGTTTTATATAGTTTATGAATTTTTGTTACTTAGGTGTTTTTTATGGAATGTTTTTTTCTTTTTGTTGATAGGAAATTAAAAGTACAAAGATTGAATTCAGTTAAATTAAAATTTTATGCTACATGTGATTTCTCTAAAATTATTATTATTATTATCATTTCATAAAGTAAATATTTACATCAAATGGAAAAAAAATTAATAGCAATATTTTTCTTTAAAATTGTATTCCAGTAAAATTTAAAAAAGATTTCGACATAAAGCATCTATGTACTGCATCTGCTTGAAAAATAGATGTGAACAACATGTCAACCTTGTACTTAAGCATTCATCAGATCTCTCTGAAACAGGATATCTTAAGTTATTTGTACAGTTTATCAGTCACAATAGAATGATAAATTTTTTTTATTATAAGAAGAACATCAGTGCAACATTTAACAAGGATTGTGAGGATTTTCTTTTTAATTTGTCGTGAGGATGAAATTAGTTTTATCTTTTTTATTTTACACAAAACTAGTGAAATTCTAAATTCTTCACAGCATTTTCATTATTGCTGAAAATGTCTTGAGGCAGATTTCTCTGCATTTTGTAATATTTTATTTGAGCTTAAAAAACAACAAAGTTTTAGTGAAAATAGATAAAGATAACTCTGAAGATTGTTGCACATATTATCTTTGTTTCATGATGAATTTTCCTTAAAATTGTTTAGCTGCCTGTTTTTTTGTACATTTAATTTTAATATTAACTGCACTTTAAAGATAAAAGAAGTGTTCATTGGTTGGCATCCTCTGCTGTAGATGAAGCTGATGCTACTTTTAACAGATGAGTGTTACTACATTCTGTGAGCTAAATATACTTGATATTCCCTCTAATGAAACTACGAAGTTAACAGAACTGTTTTGCTTGCTCTAGTTGAAAAAAGTAATCGTGTAAATACCAAGTTTTTAAAAAATATAAAAGTAAATTCATAAAAAATATTGCTCTTTATTTTGCTTTCAATTAGACCAACATTTGTGCTGTTGGGAGGCACATTATCACTAAAAATCTATCTGTTGTGAAAAGGCTACAAGTTAATTTTCTTTCCCTTTGAGGACCAAGCTGCATATTATTAAAGAGGGCAGAAATTGGTTTTTATTTAAATATACCTGTATTGTGAGGAGGTTGTTACACCTGTAAGTTATTTTAATGGTTCCCTTCATCACATCCCTCATCTCTAAAAGATTTTTCTTGTGCGTCTCATGAATTTTAGAATGTTGTTTGAATAGGGACATGGAGTATTGTCAGATATTCTAAACAAAAAACGGATTTCAAATATGTGCAGATAAAAGGAAATAATTTAATTAGAATTTATACAAATGATCCATTTAATTGCCTTCAGTGAATTTTGCTCTTTTTACACAGAGTCAAAACCTTTATTCGTATATTGTTTTTTACACATGCTACTTTGTATAGGAAACATATTTTTGATTCCTAAAGCTTTGATCTTAAAATAACTGTCAAATTCTACAGTAATATTAATAAACAAATTAAAGACATTGTGAGTTCCAGTAAACCAGATGATATACTTATAGCCGAATCCCCCAATTATAATTTGCTAAAAATTCGTTTAGTATGAAAGACATTTGTTTTTCCTTTTCAGTCATTTTTTCCTTTTCTTATTTTATTGTCCTTTTACCCTATACTGAAAAGATGCATTAATTGCTGATATTACTCAGTCTAAGTTAAAGTAATTTATACTGCTTTTTTGTTTGGCCAAATAATAAAGAAAAATTACCAATACATTTAACACAGAAAAGCAAAATAGTATTTTTAATTAATTTTCCATACCATTATCTTATATGAATTTTCATAAATGTACTCTTTTTATAGATGTATTTATAATGTACCTGGAAACTAATTCATTGTCATGACATAACAAAAACCTGGATGTTAGTTATTAATCTAGGGCAGTTTTAAAATTAATCAGATTATCATACAGTCTATCCAGTTTTTAAAATACAATTTGATACAATGAAGGGTTTAATACAGACTGAGAACATAACACCTTTTATAATATTTGTATTATTTCTATAATATTTTTCACACTATCATAATTAAATAGTATTGATAACTATAAATATTATGTTCCCTGAAGTTTCCATCAGTATGATTTGATTTATTTATTTATTTTTTATTGTATTTCTATAAATGTTGTAAAGCTAAAAACCGCTGTTAATGGGGTATCCTTTAACTTTGTGATTACATCAGATACTGAGATGAATAAGTAAGGAATGCATTCAATATGTGAATATTGATAATAATTGATGTTTACTTGCACTCTACTGTTATAATAATAATTTATTTTTTTACAAGCCAAAGTTCTATGAAAATTATACTTGCATATTTTGCTCTGAAATGTTTATCACAATTTTGCACAAATTAGGTTGGTGATTTAAATATTTTTTACTCAAAATTATACCAGTGCGTGATAGTTCAATTGAAATGTTTTTAACTGCAGAGTTTTATTTGGTGATTCTTGAATTTTGGCTTTTTATTTTATTTGAAATATATTTTGTGAATCTTGCTAAATGGTGGTTGGGCATTATTAACTGTATATTTTCATGCTTATCACATTAAACCAAAAACTTGCCCCATGCTTCAGTCTTGTTCTTTAACTGAAACTGAAAAATATCTTGCTGTGTATACATGTATACACACACACACACACATTCTGTATACCTTTATTCCCAAAAAAATAGATAACAAAAACTAATGCATTATAACGTTGAGTCAAACTACAACTGCTGCCAAATCAAGATTATCGCGTGCTTCTTTCAATCAGTTGTACAAAACAAACTCAAGCTGCAAAGAAGGTGATTAATTTTTGGTCATTCTTGAAGCTGGAAGAAGATGTTTAAGTTAACAGAGTTTAAAGAAAGCACTTACTTTTTACACTAAAAAGCTAATATACGAACTTTAATTTACAATACCAAGATTTCTACAGACCTGGAAAGTCGAGGAAATTAAAATCAGACCATTACTCAGGGAAATGAGTTTTCCATGTTAGGGAACATTAAATATGAAAAACATTACGAAAGTGAATATTTAATAATCACATGAGAGAAGCAAACATTTTTATATCTTGTTTGTTTCACATTGTAATAGCGTAAAATTAATGAACAAATATAAGTTACGTACATTAATGTAAACAACAAACATGTATATCCAACAGAGTTAATTTACAAATATTGATCAGGGAAAATTTAGTAATAATGTCAGAGAAACATATAAAAATTTGTGTGGGAACCTCGAATACCAATGTGGCAAAGAGAAGTAAAGGTTATAATTACATAAATGACTGTATAATGTCTCTCAAAATATGATTGCTTCTATTTATTTTATTAAAAGAAAAACTTTTTTATATTTTATTTAACCACAAAGTATCGGATAAACGCGTCAAATAAAATGGCGCTTGTCAAAAGTTGAAATACGTATGTGCTAAACAAGTCTTACTCGCACGTTGCTAATAGATTGTTCAGTGACATGGAGTCGGAGAATTTACAGAAATTATAGATCAAAATCCATTTCTTTAGATATATGTGTGTATTTAAAAATAAAACATTCAGATTACTGTTATTAATGTATTCTACAAATGGTGATTCAGTGCAAATAAACCTTCGAAAAATTCGCAGAAACTGGATTAAAAAAGTAAGTTTCAGTATATATATTTATCCAGGGGTTAAATTCTGATTAATTTCTATTCAGATTATCTATATAAATGAATATTTTAAATAAGTTTTAGCATCATCATGGTTTAAATTACCCAAGTCAAGTTACTTCGTCGCTTTATACAGATTAAATAAGGTCATTTATAATATGATTGAAAGTTTGCTTGTGTGTTAACACCAACAGTAACTTCCGCTGCATTGAACCACAGGGATTCTAAGTTGTTAAACTTTTAAATTAATTTACTAAATCTGAATGTTGAAATATTGGAAAATTTTAAAGATTATTAAAACCTACTTTCGTTTATATGTACAGTTGTTTTAGTTCAATAGGAATTCTGTTACCTCTAGATTAGTAACTATCATCTTTTTTGTTTTCCATTAATAAAGATCAATATTTTCTTTCTAACTGTTGCTAAACGCATGTTAAATAGTGCTAAGGCACCTCATACTAGGTACATTGTAAGTAATAATGCTAATGTTCTACTGACGGGTAATACACCTTTCTTTTTTGTATAAAATCATTGCTTTTGGGCATGCGAATTTAAATAATGCTAAAGTTTTCCAGGAAAAAATAATGCATTGCTTCTGACAAAGAAAAAGGTAGGGTGTGGTCTGAAGATTAGGGTGCAGGCCTATAGAGCTGAGGGTTCGTGGCTCGAGTCTCGTTGACGCAAAATAAAATCTCGTTCCGTACTTTGAGCCCGTGGATACATTATAAAATTGATGGTGAAAGCGGTGAATTAAGAGTTGGCGGGGGGTTCTGTTGACTATCTGCCTTCTCTCTAGTCTGTCAGTTCAAAATTAGGGCCCCTCGACGTGGATTCCT